GAGAGAGAGAGAGAGAGAGAGAGAAAAAGAGAGAGAGAGAGAGAGAAAGAGAGAGAGAGGGAGAGAGAAAGAGAGAGTGGGGGACAGAGCGAGAGAGAAAGGGAGAGAATTCCTTGTTTTAGCCTTGACCTTGGGCATACTGCGTGTCGACGAAGTGTGAATAAAATGATGAGGAGTAGAACTGTAAGAGAAGCAGGGCGGCTTGCTCTCACTCCATTAATCTCACGTTACACGCACGCAGTCTCAGACGCATGGGCGGTTGAAATCTTAGAGCTATAATAATTACTATAGATTTAATATAATAATATCACTATTATTATATCCAGGGCCGTACGTAGCCTGTGGGAGGGGGGCAAGGGGGGCAGCTGCCCCCTAGATTTTGGAGCAAAATTAAAAAATATAAGCTTAGCTAATAATTGTAAATAATCCTAACGTGATTTTTTTGGTTACATATCCGTGAAAGCCTTGTCTCAGACCCACCCCTACCACACTATGGACGTCGATCAAGAGCTGCGCCCGCCGTCGCTCATCATTACACAGTTGAGTCGTGAAATTTTGCCCCTCCTAGGAATTTGTTCAGCCTACGGCCCTGCTGATATCTAATAATAATTACAAGCGTAGAAACAGTGTGTGATTTCCTACTTACTCTCCGGTCATTGACGGACCAATAAGAGCTGCTGGAACGTTAACCCCCACAACGGTCTGTTCACCCCCTAATTCCACCATCCCATAATTCCACCATTCCCTAATTCCTCAAACATGATCGGTGTTTACCATAGTACAAGATTAGCTTATTCCCGTCGTGGGAAATACGCCCTCGTCCATATGGAACAGGATTGAAATCCGCAGCGATAAAGAACTAGTAAACACTACTCAACGATATGTTATTTTGCCGTATTTTACGATAAGCAGTCTATAGGCCTATATGTTTGTTACAATCAATTCATTTGTTCGTGCAAATAACGCAACTTGAATAAGATATATCCATTTGTCCTTCATCTTTCATATTGTCATATATTTTATATTGCCATAGCGACATGTAACTTTATGTTGCAGATTATTATTTATTCGTCGTGTACGGGGCTCGCGCATGCGCATTACCGGTTCCTTAGCACCGCGTCCTTTGCTGAATTTCATTTCGAACGGGTCGTTGGTGTGCGGCGGTGGGCGTTCCCTTGACGACGCGGGGCGGGGCTTAGCAGTGAACGCGTCCGGTGATAGGCTATCCACCGATCCGTTCACGTGATGCTCCTGCTGACCAGTCGCCTGCTGGTCTTCCGCCATGTTGCTTTCTGCTTCCGGCAACTGTTAAAAGTATAAACGCAGATTTATAATATGTGCGGCGGCTCTCTCGCCCCTCCCTCTTTATATATAATTATAAATAAATAAATAAATAAATAAATATATATATCTAGTCGCGGCCGACCGCCCTCACGCGCGCACAAACGCACAAATGCGCGCATAGACACACGTACGCACGCACGCACGCACAAACACACGCATACATAGACGCACGCACGCACGCATGCGCGCATAAATACTGTCTATAACTGCTACAGCGGATTTGCTGATTTCACGGCACAAGCTAGAAAATCAAAAAGCTGAATTGCTGACTGCACGCGGAAACCAGGAGGAAAGGTATAGAGTGACAGGATGGCAGGACGACAATTGGTAACAGGAGGACATT